CGGTTGGTGTAGAATGCGGTTGCGTAGGGCTGGGAAATAAATTCCAGTGCCACACCTGTCCAACTTCAAGTAAATTGCATTATGAGTCAACTGCGAGTGAATTTATAAAAAGTGATCACACTGATGACAACAGCAGCTTGAAAGTAGTTGCTGGTTAGTACCTGTAGCTCACAAGCCAGATAGTCTAATCACCAATCTGAAAAGGCACCAGAAGTCCGTTTCGCCCTATATGGCTCGTAAGTGGTGTTCATCTTCTGGCTCCACCAAGAACTAACTCCACGAGCGCCAAAATCTTGCGATACTGGCTAGCAGTTTATGCCACTGAGGACGGTGGTAAACCGTTATAAGTTTCAAGCTAACTGGGATAAGACGCGACTGCTCTAATCACTCACTGACATGCAGGTTATTGTCCTCTGCTTTGTTCCTATATCCAAAGCTTCTGCAGTTTCCCTGGACAAATCCTCGGGCGGTGATTATAAGGTATACTCTCCTTCGAAAGACCACACGCTAAATCTACCATGACACAACCTGAAATCCAATATAGAGCATACAATGCCCTACATTGGGATTCGTTTTCTACCCTCCTAGAATCTACAATGGGACAGTTTCTGATGAATGAGAAACAAGTGGCTAGGAATGAGTTGTACAAAAACATTGCACATTGCCTGAACGCTCCCGTCTCTATGTGGTATCGGGGTATTCTCCTACGGTAAAATTACTTGATGGCTCTGACGCGTTCGTTCAAAGCTTATCCAGCCTGGCAGATGCTATTTATAACGAAAAACGTTTTTCTTATAGCAAAAAAGGTCATCAAGAAAGTAGAAAATTTTCGGCTATACGGGTGTATGACCAATGGAAGGCATGCACACACTAACGAACTTACCAAGCTGATGAATAGCCGAAAGAATACCACAGGAGCCCCTTTTATTTCGAGCCCTGGCAACTGTCACACAAGCGATCCAGCTCACATCAGATGCGCTTCTAACAACTACTTTTGCTCCAGTTTTAATACTAGTACTGAGCGTCCTGCACAACTGATGATACGCTCTACACAGTCAAATTCGACATCTATGACATTAAAGGCTTATTTCCTGCACTAAATTATCCAGGTATGGTGGAACTGATACTTTAACACCAGCCTTGAGAAAACCTTGAAACTCCTAAATACCCAGATTACAGAGAAGCAGCAAGAGAGTGAAATCGTATAGGTAGAAAATCATCACATCCGGATTCAGTCAGATAGCCACTGCACATCCGGAAAGGCAATTTACGGCCGTTTTATCATTTCGGGAATCGTCAGGAACTCGCGTTTCATGTGACCCCTGTGGAGTTCGAAGCTGCAACTCAACTGTTGCCACTCTGTGTTTGAGACAACAAAGCTACGGGTGACGGCAAAAACCGTCGTGACTAGCTGTGATATAGCGCCGCTCACTATCCAATGAGTTGCACGTTCGTTTAGATAATTATCAAGTTATACCACTCAATTCCACCTACTAATCTTTTGTACGCAGACCAAACTGCTTATAATGACATTAGTTTGGTACTTCCGCCGCATAATGGGGAGACTACCCTGTGCTCTGCACGGTTGTAAGGTGCAAAGTAATCACGTTATGAAATAGGTGCAAGTTGGATGTCGGATTATCATTTTTCATCGTCTGATTCGATAGTATTTCCGGTGGAAAACACCGAAAAACTGATTTTATTGTCGTTTTTAGAACCTTTGTAGCAAAATCAGCATTACAATATTCTTTAGTGTAACGGCGTGAAGCATGCATATAACCCCACATTTAAGCATCTGTTTCTCTCGAGTTCAGGCGTACGAAGAAGCGTTCCGTAAAGTGGCATCCACCTTCGCCAACACAACCGTGATCTCAAATTGATCACATTGCAAGTAGCTTCAAGTGGCGTGGCAGCGTACTGGACTGCGGGTCCTTTTGGTCCACCTTCGTTGACTCAAATCATGCACTGGTCTGCGGGAAAATCTGCATGTGTTTTGGGGTCCCGAAACATGATGTAAACAGGTTAACTGATTCCTCTGTCCAGGCGAGTTATCAGTCTTCACTGGCATATGCACTCAGTTGCAATCTACCGCAAGACGTGGAGCAACACTGGACTTGTGTGAAGAAAGCGATGACCATTTTCTGACAGTCACGCTGCGGCCTAGCTCGACGCCGAGTAAAGCTTGGATCTTTGCTCGTTTTCTGGAGCTGTTCGAATGTCGCAAAGATATCCCGGCAAAATCAGACTGCAACGAGTGGCGCCATTCTGCCAACCGGTTGCTCAAGCAAAGCGTACGCAATGACCGCGAGGCATGGTGGTCCGAGCGTGCTTTAGAGATGGAGACCGCTGCCCTCGCTGACAACACTCGCAAGCTCTCCAACACATTCGGTCCACTGGCCTTAGGAAGCATGGTGTCAGTGAGGTTATTTGCGAGGTGGATGAGTCTCCGATCACCAACCAACAGAGGCGTATGAACCGCTGGGCCGAGCACTTTCAATCGCAGTTCAAGTGGCCCTCATCGTCCGTCAGTACATACAGTACCCCTTGTTGTCTATTCTGGCTCGTCCCACTGAATCCACCCAGCGAAGCGGAAGTTTGCCTCGAGATTAGACGCTTGAAGCGGTTCAAGTCTGCCGGCTTAGACAGGGTTCCTCCGGAGCTGGTGATAATTAACCAGCTGTCCTCGCTGTTTGCAAAAGTCTGGCATGAAGAGAAAGTGCCTTCCTCTTGGGGCGAATCAGTTATTTTCCCGATTTTCAAGAAAGGCGCTTGCACTTCATGTGTAAAGCATCGCAAGATTAGTCTCCCCTCGGATGCCTTCAAGCCACTGGCATCCATTCTACTCTGTATACTATCCCCAGTACGTGGATCATACTACCGTGAAGAACAAGCTGGTTTCCGTCCTGGCCGCGGATGCGTGAATCAAATCCTCACATTCCGCCAACTCCTCAAACATCGCCACATTTATCACAGGCCCACTATCGTTGCATTCCTAGACACTTATGCCACTATTGACTTCGTTGATCGACCTGCTTTATGGCGTTGGTTGCTAAAGAACGGGGTACCAGAAAAGTATACCACCATCTTAAGAGCACTTTACCTCCATAACTCTGGTATAGTGAGGGTCTACGGCAAGCTTTCCTCGCAATTCGCTACCAATAGCGGTGTGGGACAGGGTTGCCCTATGTCCCCATTCCTCTTCAATTCCGAAATCGAAGACGTTCTGTTGAGTGCTCTAGAAGGTTTCCAACATTTTAGCCTAGAGCTTCTACCGGCTGAGCGCGCGACCGACTTAGATTATGCTGATGATATCGCCTTACTTGGTGACGGTCCTCGGGGTATGCAACTCATTCTGTTGAAGCATCTAAGTATCGCATGAGCTTCGCCCCATCGAAGTGTAAAGGACTGCTCAAGAATTGGCTTTCACATGCTCCTGTGCTCACTCCCGAAGGTGTACAACTTGAACAGATAGATAGTTTCGTCTACCTTGGGAGCTGTGTTTCTGCTGACGGCATTATCAATAAAGACGTTTCTCTTCGCATCGCTAAAGCCCGATCAGCATGTGCCAATCTGAGGCACATGTGGCGTCGTCGCGAAGTCTCTATAGAGAGTAGCGTTTACATCGCATCTGTTCGTCCAGTTCATGGGAGCGAATCCTGGCCGACTCGTGTGGAAAACATGCGTCGTCTTTTTGCTTTCGATAACGGTTGCTTAAGGAGGATTGCTCGTGTTTGATGGCAACATCGAGTTAACAGCAATAACGTTCGACGTCGCATCCTGGGGAATGCGAGTCTTCCCTTCAACAAACTGGTTTTGCTGCGCCAGTTAAGATGAGTCGGTCCCGTCCTACGCATGGCACCTGAGCGTCCACCGCGTCGCACTACATTCGTTCGTCAGAGACCTAGCTGAAGACGACCGCGTGGTGGTCATCGTTCCATTTGGCAACAGCACATGACGTAGTGCCTAGCCGTTGTTGGACCCATACATCTTCCAGGATGGGGACCCAAAAATGAGGAGTGTCAATGGCCTAACACGCCTGAAGATATGGCCCACAACGGAATCAGTGGAAGAATTGTGTATAGAATTGTTTTGATTCGCATGTTTAATACTTCAGACATTGAAAACGACAAAAAAGAGACAAATCGGCATGTGGAAAACAAACTAAAAATGTTTTGTTCCGCTTTTTGTCAAAAGATTCTTCATTTCCTGTGGCATAGTAGCTAAAGTGTGTTGCTCACCTTCAACTATTATGCCAAGATGATTATGACGCAGTGACTTCCCCTTAACTGCTAATCTCCATGGCTTTGTTGGCTCTATGTCTAATTGCTAGACTGTTGAGATTACACACATACATACATGAGACCCCGTCGTACAACTTGATCAGACTACTTAGTGGATTGTATCTCGCCGTATCGAGAGATATACTATTTATTGAACGGTTGATGACTAGCCTCTGCTAGCAGAGGTAAGGTGGTTAACTAGTTCGGTTCTTTGCCGATAACTGCTAGACGGTCGGTGATAGGATTGTGGTCTTACCATAATACTACATTTCAAAATTGTGTGGAAGAGATCAGAGATGGAACCAGAGATTACCCGGAGTTGACTGTCTTGTCTTTCAATTGTTGATGAGAAGGACGATGTCATCGCGTACTTCAGACAGGTCATTTCTCTCCGTAGAAAACCATTGTAAGTGTGGCGCAAGATAACCATGGAAGAGTAGGATAAAATGACAAAAATGAGGGAAATGGGAGAAGCCGTAGTGGACCCTCTTGTGGTTCCAAATTTTACCGATCAGGGCGCTGTAGGCCCAACCACAATATGAGACGTTGGGGGCTTCGCTTCAGGATGGCAGGATGCCAACAGAGCTCATGAGGACACTTCCAAACACATAACGGAAGGTCTATTATGCTGAGAAGTAATATAAATCATAAAATGACCAGCACATGTGAAAGGTTATGTGTCTAATCCGGAACAGTAAGAATGGGCCCATGAACACTCACCAAGAGACTGGCTATGTTCCAGTCGCGTCGAAGTAGCGCACACCACAAAGGGCACACAACACTGTCTGACCGCGTGTTAGAGTCGTCGGGAGGATGCTGATCGTCCAGATTGGGAGAGGTAGATGGCATGTCTATACCGAAGCTGGAGAAGCACATAGCAAAAAAGAGAAAAAAACCCGAAAGTTCGTTTACTGAAGTGCGTTTAACGGTGGAGATAAATCTAAGGAGATTGGAAATAAGAGAATACCGCTTGCAACCCCCAACTCGCAGTAAATAACTGCGGTGTGCTTGAGTTGTGGTGCGCAAACTACGAAGTCACAGGTTCCCTTCTCAGGTTCGAGCACTTCTACTCTAACGGACCAAACATGGTCGCGAAATGCAAGGTCTAAAGTAAACCACATAGAGACTGTTCCGGTTTCAAATTGGTTGCAGGCTCAATAGGAGCAACGGATAGAAAAGTGGCGGAATGGCCGAAAGTCGGATGAAGTCTCCGAGTGATTAGGTATTGAGATAAAAAATAAGGAGGGAGAAATTGACCGCGTATCACCTCCATGGCTTTGAGTAGCGGGGTACACCAGCAAGCGGTGGGATGAAAATTGATAGATCGGTAGCGCACATGAAACCATTGCGTCGCTTACAACAGCTAATTATTTCAGCCAACGAGTTTGTCTTTTTTAATCCACTCCATGTGCACAATGCTTTTGTTGTTGTTTTTTCTCTCCTTTCGTCGGTGTCAGCGCAATCATACAAATCGAAGCTAGTGGAATTTCGTGTCCAGAAAACACTTTGAGTAGCTGAAGAGAGCAAATCACTCACCTATCATTCACAGTAGCTTCATGTTGCAACAAGAAGCGAACCACTTCCATCCGGCCACACTCCACTGCACGATGTAGCAACGATGGGCCGAATGCACGGGGACTGAATTGAAGCAACACAGACTGAATGAGGCTCATGTTTGTTGGAGTCAAATCTCGTTTTTGATACTGCTTCAATGCGGCGATGAGGATGCGATTGGCCAAATCAAAGCGCTGAGACCACAAAGCTAAGCTGAGAACCGAATCGCCCACCTCGTTCATGGAAAACCAGTCAGCATCGCGGCTTGCTAATCGGAGTGGAGCAATGGTACAATACAGTCCGTCAGACAAGGCCACATATAATATGGTGCGGAAATGTTCAAAAAAAGCTGGTTCGCATAACATTCGAAATAGTCGCACGAAAAGCAAGGAGACTGATGAAGTGTCTAAAACCCAAAAAGATAGCCATGTATGCGGCCAAGCAACGCGAACGGAATACAATCTACTTTCACACTGAAATCTTAGCAGAAGAGTGATAAGGAACCGTTCAGTGACATGTAAACTCACATGTCTTTGATGGAAGTCTCTAATCCGTAAAAAATGAGACATAGTTGAAAACATCACTAAGAACTGAACGGTAGATCAACGTGAATAGCTTACAGTCGCTTCACACTCGAGTAACTTGGCCAAGTATCATAAGGCAGCAAGCAATTCACTGAAGTGAGGAGTAAATGGCGTATCCAGTGACCTGATACGGATTGGAGGTTATAGCCTCAAATCCCTTCAGCGTAGACAGTTGTGTTCAAAGTCTCGAGCTGAACGTAAGGGGAATGGAGGTCTAATAGGGATCAGGTCCATTTAATGGCAAAACAGCTATGAAATCCTGCCAGCGTTTGCATTCGGAAAACAGGGATACCATGGTAACGACAAAGGCGGTAAGGCACCGTAGCTGCCAACGCCTGATGGACTGCGTGCACCAATTGGTCTCCGCCGCGTCCAGTTTACACAACGGAATACAACGGGTGCCCAAAAAGAAACCGAACTTTTGAAATAGCGCGCCAACCGGCAGAGAGAGCGCGTTGGGTCTAATGAGCGCATGTGGAGGTTTGTTTAGACAACAAACTGCCATTTGCCGCATTTCGCTCCGACTGTTGGCGAGCTACAGCCGCTGAAGTGAGCACCTGCACAAGCCGTTCGTCGGAATATTGCCAGACAATGAAAGAGCATGAAGAACGCGCGCGAGATTTTGCTATAAACTTGGCTGAACTTTCGGAGACATTTCCATTGCTTAGCCAAGCATACCAGGTGGACTGTATGAGTCCGACGCAGTGCTATAAGTGGTTCAAGTGTTTTGAACACAGCAGAACATCGGTCAGTGACGATCCCAAGCTTGGACGATCTTCCAAATCAACAGATGATGACCATGTCGAGAGAGTTTGTGCTGTGATCCGTGGAAAATGTCGGTTAATTGTCTAAGAAGTTGCTGACGAAGTGGGCATCAGCGTAGGATCATGCCATCAAATTCTAGCGCGTTTGAGGGATGCTGTGCGCAGGAAGAGGCCTGAACTGTGGGAAAACCAGACTTGGATGTTGCATCATGACAATGCACCGGCTCACGTATCGCTCCTTGTCTGCAGCTATCTAGCAAAACATCACACACCCATTGGGCCCCATCCACCGTATTCTCCGGAACTAGCCCATGCAGACTTTTCCTGTTTCTGAAACTTAAAAGCATGTTGAAAGGACGTTGTTTCAAAACCATGTAGGAGATTGAGGACAATGCGACAAGAGACCTGTGCGCCATCCCAGAAAGTGCGTTCCAGAAGGCTTTCCAAAAATGGAAGCACCGTTGGGAACGGTGTATTGCTAGTAGAGGGAACTACTTCGAGAGGAAAAGTGCTTAAAATGCCGCGCAAGGAGCAATAAAGGTGCTATAGTAAAAGTTCGGTTTCTTTTAGAACAACCCTCGTATGTGGTTGCGACTCGCAAAATATCATGTCGGAAGAGGGCGAGTGATAATTGGTTCAAAAAGGTTTAGTCGACAAGAAGACAGAAACAAGACCTACCTTGGCGGTCCAAATACAACTCGACCAGTCGAACCATTCCATGAGGTAAAGCCAAATGCAATGGAGTGCGCCTCTCCACTCGAGCACTAGGTTGGGGTGGTGATGGAGTCCGATCCGATGTCGTCCATCCAATGTGGTTTACATTCCCCAATGAGGTGTGTACATCTAGTTCTTCCGAAGGAGAGTCGCAGTCGAAAGGAGTGTCCAGAGGGTAGTCCGAGGTGGACGACATCCTCGGGGACTTTTCCGCATAGCTAGACGTTGGGCTCACGGGTTCAGTTCCATCTGCTTCCACAGAGTTGTCCTTTTGAACAGAAATCTGTGCGAAGTGGAAAAAAGCAAAGTTGCAACCAACCTCCAGAAACATTGTGCTGTAAATATGTAAAGTGAGGAATCCTGGTGGAGCATGCATGCCGAAGCTAGGACAACTGCTTCACCTTTTGGGATGCCGAAGTATTCTGTTGTTTTATTACACTCTTGCCTGGCAGCAGAGCAAGAGGTTCCTTCGGTTGGTTATTGAGAAGGATTGAGCGAGACTAACAGAATGGCACCCGAACTGTGTTACTGCCTTCGCGCTCTGAACTCATGTGGTCTTTATGGAATCGAATTCATGCGGGTATAAAGTCTGAAGATTTCTGATTACGCGGATAATCATTTGTTGCGGATCATGATACTGTAAGGATGGATGGTCAGTGAAACTGCGCAGATCCAGAAGACTCTCTGTCGGCATGAAGTACGAAACAGCCATACGATGAAGTTGGTAAAAGCTGAACTGGACTATGCGAACTGAAGAACTTGCCTGGTGAACCCAAGACTGGTGAAAGAGAGAACAGTGGTGCCGCTAACAACATCCGTAGGATGGTTCAGCTGACCCAGCCTCCAGAGGGTGAAATGAAAGAACGACTCGCGAACGGCTTACTATCAGAACGAGTAGTGCCCGACCGACAGGTGTGTTGTCGCCAACACTCACATGTGGCTGTCCGGAATCCCAAACGTATTATATATACTTTGATCGAGAGAAAAAAACAGCCACGAGAAGTCACTGGCGCGCGATCGACCAGCTAACGCTGTCCTGTGAAATAGACCGACAGGTCATGTGATAGAGACGTGAAGCCTGGTACAAAACACATCGCTCAGGAGCCGAAAAAAAGCTAACACCAACCTACAAAAAACTACAAGAGCTACCAGTGTTAGGCGCGAAGCTGAACGACTTGTTACATCAATGATTATGTTTCCCATGCAATCGCTCAAATCCAGCGTCATTTAACTAACCGATCAACAAGCAGCTCGAGTTTTACACTCTTTGGAGTTGAGTGTGCCGCGTCCCCGAGAGACATGTAAACAAGGCTTGGCGGATCTTAGACTATCCGGTCGGTAATCCAATGACAGTTGCTATATGCTTCCTGCCTCTGGCAAAGATTAGCATTAAAATGGCGAAGCTGATCTCATCGGAGATAAAGTAGATATTCCAACTAGAATGAAACTTAGAGAATATCCGAGCTTACGCGATTTGACAACGGAGTTCGGTTTAATTAGTACAATACGTACATGTAACTCCCTATCGACTGTGACTGAGAAGCTGCCAGAGCCGAAGTCTAGCGGCAAATGCTATTTTTGCACTATTATAATCAAGAATACAGAGGCTGCGAACGCTGCTAGTGACATGAATTAACCGGTTCTGAAGAATGTGCAGGAAAGCGTCTTGGAGCCGATATCCAGTGCATTAGTAATTATGATCGATTGCTTAAACTCCGAGTCGACGCAAGTGTGCACATCAAAAGCAGCTGGCGAGCACCAAGCGATACATTAGGCAAATCGAACAAATCACTGGCATCTATAAGGTAATGCGCAAATGTGCAAATTTTCTGTTCAAGCAGGAGCAGAGACAGTTTCTGGTCACCACCTGATATGCATACTCGAATACTGCCCACTCGGTCTTAACGAAGCGAAGTGGTCAACTTCGACGCGTTATGTTAGTGTGTCTGAATGTGTAGCAGTATTGACTCGAACTGGAGAGCTATGGAGAATGAGACGAATACCAATGTAGGTCACGGTAGCGGACCGCTAGATTAGATTGAAGCACCCAAAGTGCAGATGTAGTTGTGCAACGTCGACTAGTTTAATTGAAGTGGGAAGGTAGTTTCACTAGGTGAATATTTTCAATCCAAGAATCACTGAAGCATTTAGAAGCAAGTCTTAGATGTGACCAAGAACATTTGTGTATAGCATAAGCCAATAAAGTGAAAGATGGCATGGTTACTGGGAACAGCAAGTGCTGTTCCAACTTGCCCGAAGCAGGGGCCTGTGAATGTCGTAAGTTAAAAAGGACGGACAGCTGATTCACTCCCAAGCACTTCACCCAGACCGTTGAGTGCAGCTTTTTGAGAAACGGTGAAACATGCCTGCCGTGACATAATGATTTGTTGAATCCTGTGAACCGGTGCACCAAATCGGTATTATGCACTTTACGGACTAACTCTGTTACAACGAAAGTGTTCCGCTGCCTATGATGAAAGATACAGAAAGCTCATTGGTGGTCGATTGGACCGCTTTCGCGTGGTAATTTGCAGTCGCCATCAGCATCTTTAACAACAGCGATAGAAGACCATACAAAAATCACTGAGGTACTAAGTCATTATCCCTGCCTCGCCCATGTCCACCATACTGTTCGGGGGAGCCTAATCAAAGAGAACCAGACTGAGTTGATAAAAAAGATGCATTGATCAAATATTTACCGAAACAGCGGCATACATAAAGGTGATGCATTAGGGTGGCTTTCGTACGTTCGAAAGCTATCCTTGATTTCTCGTCAATTTCGCCATCGAAGATGTCGTCCAAAGAACACTGGAAAGTGTCCAGAACTGCGGTGTTGAGCTCCTCCCTGGAGACAGAGTCACGAACTTGGACTCCGCCGATGATATCGCATTGCTAGGGTAAGACCCACAAACCGTCCAGAGCGCTTAGCACCGCTTAGCGATGGAGGCGCCTAAATACGGCTTGTGCTTCACTCCGGGAAAATATAAAACGCTGCTTCAGGACTGGCAGATGCCTGAACCCGCGCTCATCATTGCTGGACATGTTCTGGAGCAAGTCCCTTGCTTTATTTATCCAGGGAGTTGCATCACGGCTGGTGGCGGTGTAGGAGGTGAAGTCTCACAACGGATTGCAAAGGCCCGCCTTGCATTCATCAAACTGAGACACCTATGGCGTCGTCGTGATGTCAGTCTCAATCTCAAAGGTACCGTGTACAATACTTCCGTACGTGCGGTACTCTTGTATGGCTGTGAGACTTAGCCCATTCGCTAGAAAGAAATGAAGTGGCTGTTAGTCTTTGACAATAGCTTCTACGAAGGACTGCTCGGGTGTGGTGCCAACACCACGTAAGCAACGCGGAGGTCCGAGACCGAATGCTGGGAGCGAGTAGTGCCAGTTGTTCGAACGTTATTCTCCGACATCGCAGGCGTTGGATCGGGAATGATTTCTGCATATCAGCCCATCGCCTTCCACGTGAAGCGCTATTTGCACTCACGGAGAGCGACTGAAAGTGTCCCGGTGGACAGCCAATGAGGTGGAGGAGCATGAAGAAGGCAACTTCAAGGATGGCCGCAGTGGACCAGTCCGTCTAACAAGTTGGGCACCAGGAGATGCGGAATCTTAATAGTTGGAAACATTGGTTGTCATGGACGGAAACAGACATCAGCGACGGCAAGGTTGTCCTGACATTTCATATAACCGTTTTATTCCACACAAAAAACTCCCAAAATAAAAAAATCCAAAACGGCGGGGGTAAAACCAAAAAAATCGCTTTTCATTTTTTATGGCATTTCGTGTTTCAAGCATCTCCAATTTGTTTCTTTTACTATGGAAAAATGGCTGACAACAGGCTTGGAATATATATATATATATACATATATATACATATATATATATATATAAACATATACATATATATATATAGTTGGCGGCATCCGGTGTCGGATTTGCCTGTCACTGCGGCCAGCCACAGGACGTCTGCACCTACAGAGGGACCATGGGTGGCTTGCACTGCACCACCCACAGCTCCAACCACACATCCCATATCCAATGTAAACCCGAAGGAATAAGACAGAGAGGCATGTGGATGGGAGCCACGTTTCATCAACGGAATCGGCCCACACTCCTTCACAAGCAAACACAAGCACGCGGTATTTGTAAATCAACCGCACACAAGGCGGTGGCTGGACCGTACTCCGCTCCACACTGAGTGCATGGAACCACTCTTTGAGCCTAGCACGACCACAAGGACCGTGCACCCCGTCCCCTCCAGCAACGACCAACTGTCTCCTGGAGCCAGTGTGGACGAGGTAGTGGGTAATAGACAGGTAGGCATCTTGTCAACATGCACATCAAGCGCAGCCACACCGGGGATATCATGCAACAGCCAATCATTTAAGAGAAGAATATCCAAGAAAATAACTCGAATATCGCATAAGGAAACGGTGACATAAATCTTAAATTGATGAGCATATGAAATAAGTTGTCTACCAACGAATCCGAGGTAAGTTCACGAGGTCAGAAAGTATACTTTACGGAAATGCCACGAACACAAAAATGTTATGGAAATCCAGTACAATTGGCTTAAGCGAGGTGTGCAAGTGAATGGAATAGAGTACAGGTAGACATTTATATAAGAAAGAAAAGGATTAAGGCAAAATTGAAAACCCACCACCCGAAATAAATCGACTTAGCATACAAGCACGCGGTTAGTAAATCGAATGCAGCGTACTTACAAACGTCGCACCGGTTCTGAATACTTCTCTGCAGGACCCTTCGTAGCTTTTGTAGTGGTCCCGAGTGGCCTCGCTCATGGCCCACTAGACATTAATATGAGAAAGCCATTAGGACGAAATTGAAAACTCACCACCTGAAATAAATAGACTGAGCATGCAAGCACGCGGTTAGTAAAGCGAATGCAGCGTACCTACAAACGCTGCGCCGGTTCTGCCTACGTTCTCTGCAGGACCCGTCGTCGCTTCGGTAGTAGTCCCGAGTGGCCTCGCTCATGGCTCACTATGCCTGCCTGACTAAAGCACTCGCGACCGCATGTTCTACAGCAGCATGCGCTTGATGTCGATGGAGAACAACCCATCGGTGCTTCCGCTTCCGCACTTGCCGCTTCTTCTCTGCATGCATGAGGGCTTTCTCTTGCACCTCGGCAACTGCCTTCGTGATCAGATCGCGCCATACACGCCGATCAACCGCCTTCGATTCCCATGATCTGCGATCAAGATTACAACGTGTGAGGCTCACTTTAACCATGTCCTGGTAACCTAACTTTGG